ATCGGTCTCCAAAAACCCAAGTGGAAGAGTCTGTGCAAAGGTTAGCTGCAGAACAGGCTGGGATCCTTACAGAAAACTCTCCTCCACTTGCGCGCAAAGGCTCCCCGTTTCTAAGTCAGGCCAGACATCAGATGCGTTCTGGGGCTGGAGGGCCAGGCGTCCCCGTCAGACAGCAACAACGCTGCAGAGTCATCCGTGGGACTGAACCTTGCCCAGCGGCATCCGTCACCCAACTGCCCGACTGACCTCCTAGCTGTTCCCTTTCCAACAAGGTTAATTAACTCCTAATCCATTCCCACTTTTGCCTTCGCCATCCCTGAGTGTTCGAATGCAGAAAGGACAACGTCGCTTTCAAGGCAGAGAAAAACCCGAAGTCGAACTGAACCCCGGAGATAAAAACCTCCGATTTAACGCGACTCCTTGCCCTCACGTGCTCCTCCTTCTTGGCTTCACCCAACAGCAAAATGGTTTGGGGTTGGGGTAAGGCTGCTGGTCACTCTTTAATCTTCCAAGGCAGCCCTGCTCAACTTAGAGACTTGCCGCTGGAATGGATTACAAGTATCGGGATCCTCAGTCACCTGGCTGAGGATTATGGGGAGTAGGATCCAGCCTCCCTTCCCCGTGTCATCTTGGAAAGAGAGCTATCGAGCGACACCGTGCTTAACGGATGCATTTTTAAGATTACGTGTTGAAGAGTGGTTCTTTTAAAACACGCTTTTATCCCACTCTTCAGCCCCAAACGGGTTTTTGGAGTGGATTACAAAAGATCAGTCATCAGACGGATCAGCTTTAAAGCAGTCTGACTGACCAATTAATCTGTCAGCAGATTTCAACTCTGAAAAAAAAATAAAATGAAGCAAGGGCTTATCCAGCTGCAGGTGGGAACTGCGTCCTCTGAAGAGCATCTTTCTTCCCGCGCGGAGGAGAAGGGCAGATTTGCCTTCCAAGAAGCGTGAGAGCCCGGGGGGTTCATCTACAAAAATATTGGCTGGGGATTTACTGCTCAACTTGAAAGGGAGGCAATCCCCTGAACAGCCTGATTCCCTGAATTCTCGAGTGAAGAGGAAAAAGGAGAGTCACGATGCAAGTCTACGTTTTCATGGGCAAATATTTGCAGATTTCGGTCAACAGGCACTGAATCGACTCGAAGTCATAAGGCTGAAGCAAATGGGAGCGAACGGCCACCTTATACCTCTTCCAAAGACCCAGCGCTAGACGGCAAGGGAGAGTTTTGGGGTGGCTTTGCTGCCCACTCGCCGTCGCCTGGAGGCGCACAGACCAGACCTGGGAGCCCTTGCCTCGCCTAGCTTACCTTCTCGTAATACTTGACTTCATAATCCAAGATGCTGCCTGTGGGTGGCTGGATGAACGGCCAGGCCAAGGTTACCCCGCTGGGACTGACTGAGGTTTGCTCGATCTCAGAAACGGGCTGGGGGACTGGTGAGAGAAAAGGACCTGTGAGCTTAGGGCAATCGGATCTGGGCTGCAGAAATCACCCCGACCACTAGACGCCAGCAGAGAGGGGCAGAAACCCCTAACTCTTGGCCGCCATCCTGTGTTGGCCCCGGTGCCCGCAGCCCAGAGGTCATAGTCTCACCCAACAGACTCCTCCGGGTCACAAGCCGGGCCACCCAAATCCCCCCAATATGGTTTCCCCGTGCTAATATTAAATAACAACGTTAGAAAGAGAAAGAGGCTGGATATAGGGCCGCTCTTGAAGAAGAAAATGACGTCCTGCCACCTGTAAAACAGGTTCTTGCGGACAGCGCCTGGCTTTGCCCATCCTAAACATTTCGGTTCGAAGTGGTGGGTGACCCCCATGCCTCCGGTTGGCAAACCACGATGTCGCTTGTGGCATATTGCGCTCAACAAAATGAGATTTATTTACACGATGAAGATGGTCTGATATGGTCTGATAGGTGAAGGCCCCTACTTGTGATTTATTTAAGCAAACTGGATCTAGGTCAGTGTTTCTCAACCTCGGCAGCTTTAAGCTGTGCGGACTTCAACTCCCAGAATTCCCCAGCCAGCCAATTCTGGGAGTTGAAGTCCACACAGCTTAAAGCTGCCGAGGTTGAGAAACACTGCTCTAGATCAACATGTAAGCCCTGGCATAGATTTTTCCTTGCCAGCAGACGGTCCTTTCAGGTGGCTCGCTCTGGAACAACCCTCCCGGGCTTGGATGCTCCCGGGGTGGATGGAGGGGCGTTAGGCCACCTCTGCCGAGGCCCAGCTTGGAGCAAGCCCTTCTGGGCGCGCTGCGGGTACGGGGGCAATGCCCTACCGTCTTTGTTGGTGGTGATGTTGATGGATTCCGACTGGGGCGGGTTCTGACTCAGATCGGAGACGCCGTTGACCGCCTGGATCTGGAAGGAGTAGGTGATGTACGGCTGGAGGCCCTCCACGGTGACCGTGCGGTCCACCAGCCCCCGCGACCGGGGGGCATAGGCCAGGCGGGCGCACTCGCGGCAGCTCTGCCGTTCGGGGCACTCGCTGCAGCCGACGTGGTACGAGACGTCATCCCGGCCACCGTTTTCCAACGGTTCGCTCCACTCCAGGACGGCCACCGAGCCGTTGATTTTCGCCACGATGCTGCGTGGGGCAGAAGGCGTGGCTGAGCAGAGGAGAGAGAGCGGGGTCAGGCCCGGGAAGCCTTTGCCTACCCCCCAAGCGCCCCCCAGCCCTCGCTTTCCTGCCCCGCGGCCACTCACTGGAGCACTGCTTGGTCACCGGCTCCTTCACCGTCCGGTAGAACCCGATGCGGCAGGAACATTCGCTTGACCCCGGGGAGGCGGACGTGCTGAAGGAGGGGCAGGGCTGGCAGCCCCCCTCCCCTTGGATGGCCTTGAACATCCCGACGGGGCAGGCTGCGGAAGAGCGGAAGGGGACGTCAGCCTCGCCTCCCGGTGGGAGGGCCAAAGGGTGCCTGCCCCGCACCCCACCAGTGCCCTTTCCACAGCCCCTGAACCGGTGGCGGCAGAAATGCCGGCTTCTTTTTTCCGACACCGTTTTGAGATGCGAAGGGTAAAAGGGCACCCAAAGTGCCTCGCCCTTTCAAGCTCCCGATTCCCCAGGGAGGCCCCTGGTTGCACCCACTAAGGGCACCCCTGGAAGCCTGCCCAAAGATGTCCCCTGTGCCCTAGCTAAGCCCTTCCCAGCCTCCCAGGCCGCCTTTCCCCCGGTGGGGTGAGTCCCAGAGCCAGGATGCTGGAGGATGGCGGCTTCTCTCTGAGACCTTTGGACCCCCCAAGACCCTGCTGAGCTAGGCTCTCCGGGCAGGGAGGGGGCATCTGGGGCAGGGGATGCACGTCCCAACCCCGGGAGAGCGCAGCCACAGGAGGGCAAGCAAA